GAAGTAATTTTTATTGAAGTGAAGGAAACAAAAAATAAATCTAGGATAATTGGATGTGTCTACAGACCACCTAATACTGAAATATCATCTTTCAATGATAAACTTAAGACAAGTTTGGATGTATTTGAAAAAGGAGAAAAAGAAGTATATCTGATGGGTGATTATAATATTAATTATTATTCCCATAATGAGACAAATGAGTTTTTGGAAACCGTGTTCACATATAACATGTAGCCAATTATTTCCAAACCTTAACAAATTACTTCAAGATCTGGTACTCTAATTGACAATATCTTCCTGAATTCTTTTCATGAAAATATTGAATCTGGTTTGTTATATACTGATTTATCGGATCACTTCCCAATATACTGTTTGATTAAAGTAAAGACAAAAGAACAAGAGCACATAGTATATAACATTTTTAAAGTTAAAAGGAGATTGATAACTGATCATAACATGCACAAATTCAAAATAAGATTATTACAGATCGATTGGTCTGCCATTTATAAAAATTGTGATGCAAATGCTAGTTATGGTTACTTTGCAAAGAAATTTACCACTTTGTATAATGACTGTTTTTCTTTAGTAAATGAAAACAAAACTAGGTATAAACTCTGTAAACCATGGATTACAAACGGTATATTTAATTCTGTAAAGAAGAAAAATCGTCTTTATAAAGCATATCTACAAATTATCTACACAAACCAAATCAGAATTCCTTAATGAAATATACTGTGTTTAAAAATAAACTAACATCTGTTATAAGAAGTACTAAAAAACAATATTTTTATGATATCTTTCAGAAATGTAAAGGAAATATGAAAAAGACCTGGAATGAAATTAATAGTATATTGGTAATAAGAAGCAAAATGTTTGTCCATGTAAAATGTTATGTGGTAAAAATAAATATTACTTGCGTGAACAGATTGTTTAGGAATTTAATTCATATTTCGCTAGTATAGGTCAAAAAGTAATCAAATTCCATTCCATGATTACATAAGAATTATGAAAAATATCTCAGTTCACAACATATTGCCTCCATGTTTTTAAAGCCAACTTCTGTTATGAATTAACAAAGATTTGTGCTTCGTTTAATCCATCTAAAGCAAGTGGCTGTGATGACATATCTCCTCGGGTAGTGAAAGAAGCAATCTTTTGTTGTGTGGAACCATTATGTGACATATTCAACAAATCATTAACCACTGGTGTGGCTGCCTTCATAAATCTTTATATGAAGGAGTTTCGTCTAACAATAAAATCCAACTGTTGTTATTCACAAGGCACACCGATGAAAATTAACACTGGAAACAATTTGCTAAAGTCCAACCAACTTCTGTTTTATTCAGCAACTCGTAACTTCACTTTCATATCTTCGGTAAAACCTTCAGGTTAATTACTATCTCCGGTAAACCTTCAGATAACAATCTGTAATGATAATAAACAAACAAATAATAAATAAATGTTTCAGCATGTAAGCATATAAAAACCCTATAGCTAAATTAAAGATACTGATTACAACACATTAATATATAACACAAGATTAAAGTTAAACTGGATTAAATATCTATGTGAACACACCCTGCATTGAAACTATGCAGTAAACTATTAAACGGTACACACAAGCAAAGGTACATGAGTGTAAACAGGGCCGCATTCAGACGCGGTTCGTCACTTAAGTTCCTATGCTAAATAACTAACAAAGAAAATTGTTTCTTTCCTAAACACTTAGTTTTGCTCTATATTCGACATGAACTATATATATAATAAACAAGTTATCATCTACATAGTAGCAGAATCTTTACTACTTTGAAACACTTAAATGTACTGTAACTTCTGCTGACAAAGACAAAGAACTCGGCTTTCTACACTATACATTATACACACTCATCTCTTTGTCTACTCCTAAAAGCTAGGTACAACATCTAACATCATCTTTACGAAACTCCTATAAAATTCTACCAAACTCAACTGAGATTATATTAAGATACATCCTAGCATTCTAGTATATATCAAATAACATATATAGAAATAGATATCGTATTCTTACCGAATTGGGCCTGTAGTTTGTTCCACAAAATAACTAAAAACTTTCTGCTGCAATGTTATGTAACTTGGACCTTACTGCATCACTTTGACATTCAGAATGACTGGGGTTTGCTTCTCCCAGAACATAGGTGGAGAAGAACAAAGAACTTCCTGTCTCTGTGACTAGTAGTATAATCTTAAAGTAAACAATAGCCCCAAGATATGCTGGTAGGCATATTAAGACGCTGGTAGTCTCATAATAAGACTCTTCAAACTATATAAGAAATGCACATTTCTTCACTACATCCTTATGTAGTGACAACTGGTGTGTTTCCAGATGCTTTTAAAATAGCAAAAGTAGTGCTGTTATATAAGAAAAACTGTAAACCAAACATAGATATTTAACAACATAGTCCTTCAATGTGTACATTCAGTATCCTTTCTTGGTGTTACTATAAGACAAATTCCTGGACTGGAAGACCCACATTAAAAATGTAACTTTGAAAGTATCTACAAGCATTGGAATATTATCAAAATTAAAATTTACCATTCCCCAAAATGTGCTAATCTTATTATACAACTCAATAGTATTACCCCCTTTGTCCTACTGCAATATAGTGTGGGGAAATTCATATTCATCTCATCTAAACAAAATGAAAATACATCAAAAGAGGGCAATTCGAATTTCAAGATATTCAATGTATAATTCTCATATGAAACTATTATTTAGCAGAATGAAGGTTCTTCCTGTCCAAGAACTGATATCACTTAATACTTGTATATTTTATGTGTCATTTCCACACGGGTAATCTTCCACACATTTTTTCAAAATATGTTTATTAGTAATTCATCCGTTTATTTACCTAACACTAGGCAAAAAATGTTATTACACAAACTCCCTGTACCACCCATGCACTGAAATCATTTCAAAATGTGGGAATAAGCAAATGGAATGATTCACAAGGATATAAGATCAAGTTCAACTTTGTCTAGATTTAAAGTTTTGTGCAAAAGGGAACTATTTATTAATTAGTAAAACTGGGTAGGACTATAAGTTTTAATCTCATATTTCACATTTTTCATGTGCTTCCTCTCCTTCCTTTTTCTTTTTAATATTCTTCTCTCTTCTTCTCTTTCTCTCTCTCTCACACACTTTCTCTCTCTCTCTTATAATATGCTTTAAAATGCATTGCATTGTGTGTGAGTGAGCGAGTATGGCTGAGTGTGTTTGCAAGATATTTGTAATTGTTTTGTAATAAGTATGAATATGCATATATCTCTTTTATTGTTTTGTTTGTTATAGTATGTTTTTATTATATTTGTTTTTGATTGTAACAAAAATCACAAGGCTCTCTTAGAACAAGGCTGCCAAAACCATGCTTATCTTAAAGGTGAAATTTAAAGAAGATCACAAATATGTCAACTAATGTATCACTAGAAACTGGTAAGCTTACAGATGGCCATCGGACAAGTTTTAGGTCAACTACATATCGGGTGATTTATAAAAATAGAAATACAACTACCTCCATAGCAGCTGGGATATACGAGAGATTCGCCGGAAAAATAACGATGTTTTAATGACGTCACTATATGGACCAACACTGCCCAAGCAGACGACATCCCATAGAGAATGAATATAATTGCAAAGCTCTTATTTCTCAAATTATAATGGGGTTTAGTGTATATAAATGTAATGGCATGTCAAACCATTCAAAAGGGGATATGACCCGATTTCTGATAAATAAAATCTTTTGCTTGTAAATACACAGGATAGGGGTTAATTAACAATCAACGAAATCAGACTTTCAAATTGAAAAGCCCCGGAATGATATTAAAGACGGCATTTGTTCCCTCTTGAAACGCAGAACATACCCCGGTGTGTGCAGCTGAATATACAATGGCGTCTTATTTTGTTTAGATGCGACAGATTCCTTTATTTTTGTATCGCTGCATTTGTCATCAAAATAAAACCATGCGCGGGGTTTAGAGTGGGGCCATAGATTATACATTTAGCCTGACGGTAGTGAAGTAAGAGAAAGAACTCAAGATAAGATGAAAACACAGGCACTGAAAATGTGTGAGATGTCATGGGACATGGTCTGCTTGTGCAAGTCATGTCCATACTGTGATCTCACACATCTCAGCAGCATTCGGAGAGCTCTTCAGGTGCTATGCCGGGGCTGTATTTAAGCGTTTTGTAATTTATAATAATCATTATTTTGAATGTTTCCAAGCATTGAATTTTGATAAACTTGTCGAATCAAAGTTTCAACTTTGCAATAATGAAATGAAGTTAGTTTTTAAAATCAATGAATATCTACTTTAAAGGTAATACAAAATTTTGGTATGGGGTCATGAATTTGGTTCAAATGAACATATTGGAAGCCTATGTGGTCCTACAATATTCAGTGATCGTTGTCGCTGGAAAACCTTGGTAGAGCCACCAAGTACATCATTCTGCATTCTGATAAACTCTTTATGTTGTATAGCTCCCTCTCAAGGTCAAGATATTAATTAAGCAATAAAACAATGTTTTTGGACTAAAATCGACCGATTTGCTATTCCTGTTCAAAAATTATATATCACAGCTACATATTCTGAGATTTTCATGGTCGCAGCTACCATTGAACAGCTGTTGGCGCTATTTGAAATTCATAAAAATTTACCAGGAGCACCAGTAAATTTTTATATTCAATTTTTGTCGAAAGCAGAAGTGTTTTAGGGGCTAAATTTTCTAGTGCGTATAATACATCTACAAGGGCATCTAAATATATCAAAATTGTAAAGAATCACTATCCACCCAATTTTCAAAAATTTCCCAAAACTTTGTTTTACCGTTAAGTGCTGTATGAATGTAATTTATTATTATTATTATTATCGTTTTTTTTTCTTATTATAATTGTTCTTTTTGTATTATCATTACTATTCGTAGTAGTATCATTATTGTTATTGTTGTTATTATTACTATCCTACAGTTCCTCGTCAACCATCCAGCTTCGTGGATACTCTGGTCACAGCAGATGAGATCTCTCTCTCCTGGCTTCGTCCTCCATCAGGCAACTTTGATAGCTATGAACTCTCCTATACCCCAGAGAATGGTGCTAAGGTCACCTTGCCTGACCTAGCAGCAGATGAGAACAGTTTGGTCCTGGAAAACCTTGGTACAGCCACCGAGTACATCATTCTGCTACGCACCAGGGCTGGACTAAACACCTTCAGTGAGCCTCTGGAGTTGACTGTTACTACAAGTGAGTGCTAGTGATTATACCCAGTCAATGCCTAGAGTACAGGGTGTACAAATAGTATTCATTAGTGGTATAGCACATATCACGTTTAAACGTCTCTATACACTTCAAAATTTTGACATTATTACCCCGGCTTTAGCCTAGCTGCCATTAGAGCATCATTAGTGTCGCGGTGGGACTCAAACCGCGGACCACCCAACCTCTATGATGCATGCAAAGCAGTATATTATACGATCTATCAGCATTCGAGTTGAGAATGTGTTATTGTACAAAGCCGTCACTAAATGTTTACTATACTCTTTCCAAGGAGTGGAGATGGTGCACAGACATGTACTCTCTGTGTGAAAGACATTGAAAATTGGGGTCATGATATCTGTAATGGGCCCATGCAGAAAAATTTGTTTTAACGTTTTTATTTCAACAAAATACAAAAAGGACTCTGACTCGGTAATCTTTTTTGGGGGTGTGTAGTCCCGCAAACCTACTGTATATCTACATCACCATGTAATCTGACACTTACAAGCAGCAAAATACAATTTATATTAAATATTTGGTGAATCAGCCTTCAAATGTTTGTTCACAAATGCCAAAAGGTTCAGAATAGAAGTTTAAGCGTACTTGCATGTAGGCTCACCCGCACAGATATGTAAGTGCTTCACATGAACTTTGTCATCCCCGCTTGCTTTTTATTTAGTACACACAACACACTGTCATATACCACAGTGGTTTATCATGTTGAAGTTAAGTTCAAGTTCAAGTTTTATTTATCTTTCTTTCATAACATTGAATTACATTATTGCTGCCCTTAGTAATAATTGCATTTTTTTCTTTGTTGGTTGCTGTTGTATCCAGCACAATATTTATCTGTATCGTATTAATGTTATTTTCTTTGTATTTTATTGTCATTTTCAAAAACCTGTCTTTATGCAGCTAAGATAAAACAATTGTATTGAAATGAAGTAAATTCATTCTTTTTTGTTCTGCATATGCCAGGGTCTGCTCTCCTAGCCCTACAACCTATACCCGATCCCACGTCTGATGTCTCCCTAGACTGGGACCAAGAAGCGGGATCTATTCAGAGGTACATTTTGACCTATGACCCCAACAACGGTGACCCAATCTCTCCCATCAGGACCGGTATACCTGGCCCTGTCTCCATTTCAGGACTGATGCCTGGTTCTCAATACACCTTCCGTCTCTTCTCGGTCCTTACCACCAATGTTCAGTTCCTGTCCAGCAGTGTCTCCCATGTCACGAGTAAGCATTCTCTTCTATTCTCTTTACGTTTGTATATTACAGTTAATGTAGGTACGTTATACAGTGGCACTTAACCCTACGTTAACTGGGGGGCGGGGTCAATTTGACCCCCCCCCCCCTGTAGAAATTTTGCGACTACTCCGAAGTCGTGGCAGATATAAAATTTTCCTTTCATGACTTTTTTCTTTTGAGTCTTACGCATCTTTTAAAAAAAAAATTTGTTGAAAATCCGAAGTATAGTTACAAAGTCACGTGACCTCTTGTCTTCGCATGTCAGCCCGAAAATCGTTAATTTTGGTGATTTGTGTACAAAACATATGGAAATGTCATTTTTCCTAAAAAGAGATAAAACATTGGTTATTTAGTCTTGTTTAAAGTTTAGGTGTTTGTTTTGGGGTCAAAATAGTTGAATTGTACTTACAGATGAAATAAAAGAACAAAAACAACAAAAACAATAAAATACATAAGTTAAAAAAAACAATGAAATACATAAGAAATTATCAAAACAAGAGATAACATAAGGAATAACCTGGCTCTTCCAATTTTTTGTGTTGTATTGTTATTCCAAATGGTCTAACAAATATATGTTGTGAAAAAGAATGCTTAAATATGAATAATGTATGATTTATGGGCAAAAATGTAAATTGTATGACCTTATTTGTATAAATTACCATAAATATGCAAATGAGTGAATTTTTCAAAAAATTGAAATTACCATAGTATTCTATACACTTCACTTGACATGTATGCAAATTTTCGCGGCGATCGGCAGTGAAACGGCCGAGATCTTGGGGGGGGGGGGTCAAATTGACCCCCCCCCCCCCCAGTAAAAACCTGGTCTGAAATAGCCCAGTTAAAATAGGGTTAAAGAGGCATCCAGATTCCTAAACCCTAATTGGCATTGATATCATTGGATTAGAATTTGTTGGTTTGGAGCAAGAAAAGCGATAATTTATATACTGTAACACAGAATAAACACCCTTCTGGCTTTTATAAACAGATGAATTGTACTTACTACTTGTATCCAAGTTACAGTTTGGGTACTATTGTGCCTAATCTAGATAACGATGTTGTCCTACCTGTGTGCAATAAAGTGTGTGATTATAAACCATTATGAATTTTGTGTACCGGACGCCTCTTTACATGCCACTACCTTCCACATACCTTCCAGCAATCCATTCATTTGTGAATGTTGTCAAGCTGTTGTTTTTAAAACTCAAATAGAACTTTATATTCATTTCATATTAAGATACATGTGACTTACTGACTTAAGCCGTCCACACCATCACTGGGATGTATGATGGCTTCTGCTTCACAATGGCTTGCCACACCTTCCTATCTTTAGTTAGCCTAGTAGCTTTAGTCAGGGAGTCTAGTTGTCTGTTGTTGCAGTCCGCCTTGATGCAGTCTGTCCATCTCTTAGCTGCATGGTCTTCCCCTTGGGTGTTTGCCATGTACATTTCCGTTGAGAAGGATGTCGGGGTATCTATTTGGATCCATTCGGTTGATATGTCCAAAGTATCTCAGTCTTTTTGTGACAACCCTGTCGATGATGGTTTCTTCCATGCTAAGTTGTGTTCGTATGTGTGTGTTTCTTAGCCTGTCAAATCTGGTCAAACCTATGATTCTCCTGAGGCATGCTATCTCAAAAGTGTGAAATCTATTTTCATTGACCTTCTTTAATGTCCATGTTTCTGCACCATATAACACAATAGACAACACCAGGACTTTGTACAGTTTTACCTTTGTTGTGCAGCCTATATCTTTTGATGCCCAGATTTTGTTGATCATAATAAAATCAATTTTATTATGGGTGTTTTGGTCAGGTGATTCCCACGTCCACTGGCGGCTTCCTTTGCTTTGTTTGTAGAGCATGTTAGTGATGATCAGTTCGTTTGCTGCACATAAATTAAGAAGCTTTTCTCCCCTGGGATTGGCCTCCCCAAGTCCATATTGACCTATAACCTGGTTCCATTTCTTGAAGTCTGATCCTACCTTCGCATTTAGGTCACCCATTACCATTTGAATGTCTATTCTTGGAGCTTTCTCTGTCGTTGCTTGTAGTAGGTTGCAAAATTTCTTCATTTCCTCTTCACTGTTGGATGTGTTTGGGGCGTAGACCTGTATTATGGTCCCTGAGCATAGGATTCTGTGTCCATCATGGGTGAAGTCTCCCATGTCTGTCCAGTAGGTTTCTGCAATGCCAATGATTTCCCAGTGACATCCTTTTAGCATTATGTAGCAATATGTCTAAGCTTCCAGGTTGGAGCAGTGTACGGACATTCCATGTCCCAATTCCAATCTGGTTTTTTGTTGTTAGAAGTGGTGCTTTCCTTGTTGGTGGTTCATCAGTAACAACTCCCCCGTTAGGCTTTGGAGCTGTTGCATCATTATTCACTGCTTGTTGCAGGACCAAGGGCTGAGTTGGCAGGTTAGTAGAGGAAGGGGCTTAAACCCTGGTGCTGTTTGTGTGTACTTCCATTGTGGAACAGTTTCGCTCAAAAGCTAGGTGGACGAGACACTCCTCTCCTAGCCACCCTGGTCAGTGCTCCCTGTTGTACGAGTCAACAGATTAACAGTCCCCACCACAAGAAGGTCGACCAGGACGATTACCCATACTCACACAAGTCGGTCATACCCCTCACGTTTTGCTTGTTACAGCAGTTTGCTACCGGGATGTCTCCTTCTTGTATGGTCTACCAAATTTATTACAAAATGGTAGAGAGTATAGACTTTTAACATACATGCACATGGAAATATATGTTCATCATGTATTATCACATGACTTTGTATTTTTGTAGCCCCTCAGCCTCCAGGCAATGTAGCAGTAACGGAGGAGACGACCTCCACCATTACACTGAGCTGGTCTCCACCTAGCCAGGAGCAGTTCTTTGGATACATCTTGGAGTACGAAGGGACTGGTTTTTCAACGGAGCTTGGTCGCACCCCTGCTACCAGTTTCTTACCCCGTCATCAGGAATCTGTAACCCTTAAGGGACTGACTCCAGGCATTTCCTACAGCATTAAAATCTCTTCATTTGTGGAGTATGATGATGTGACGACTCGCAGTAACATTGTGACAAGTCTCGGTACCACAAGTAAGTCGTAACAGATTACAGGGTTCCCTGGAAGGCTTGCGATCCCGGGTAATTCTGTAAGGCTCGTTATAATATTAATAACTCAGGGTTATTGTAGGCATATTTTAGTTAATTTGGGAATTAAAACATTGAGTGGAACGAGGCAGCAAGAATGTACTAGGATCACAGAGAAGAAAGATGTGTGGAAAATGTTATGATCAACATCTGATCAGCAGGCCTGATAATAACCCAATTTTTTCCCTTGATTTTACCCATATTTCACAGATTTTCTCCTTCTTTTCCCTTCTTTTTCCTCATTTTCTGTATTTTTTACCAATATCCTTTATTACTCAAAAGGGGAGGAATTTTAGATGCCTTTTTCCCCCACCCTTTTTTAATGTTTTACTCAAGCCCCCCTTGAGTAAAAAAAAACAAAACCTGGAGATATAGTCATTTGCCAATTTATTTTTTATGATTGCATTTTTATACATGTAAATGTTCTTTCTCTGATTACAGTGAGTACATCTAGTCTGAACATCGTAGCCAAGTTTGTGAATCAGACTTCGTTTACCATTGAATGGCAGCCGGCTGTTGGAGCCTCAAGCTACGTCACACGGGTAAGATAATATGTGTCCAGGCACCTAAAAAACCACCAGAAAGTCGCATGGTGTGACTTTCAGTTCGAGCTCAATAAAGGAGCGTTTGGTCAGGATGGTAGAAACTGAACTTTTAGCATTTCCTGAAAGTTTATACTTTCTTCTGTATAATTTCAAAACTTGAAAGCAACAAACAATCTATAAGTGGTATTTTGGAATTGTTTTGCACATCTAAATGTATATTTGTCTGCTGTTAAAGTTTGTTGTAGTAGTTTAAGTAGTTTAATAACCCTGGCTCCTGGTCTAATTTTGAGTAGAGGAGGCGCGATAGCTCAGTCATTAGTGCAGTGGTTTTGTAATCCGGTGACCCGGGTTTGAAGCCAAGTCGATGCGCTAGTGCCCTTTGGTAAGGCATTAATCCTCATTACCAGGTCCATCGGAGAGGACCTAAAGCCGTTGGCCGTCTGGTGCTTACTTACAAGCACTTATGCTTTTTTAGCAGTCAGGTAAAATAACCACCATCACCATCTCCTATAACCTTTAAAACAGAGTACGCTCTTGCATTGATACATTGTCAAAATTAATGTGACTGTTATTATGATTATTATAATTGTTATTATTAATAATTCTCGTAGTAGTATCGTTTACATGATTATTATGATTGCGATGATGATTATTATTATGATCGTTATCATCATCATCATCATCATCATTATAATTTTTAATAGTGGTAGAAGTATTGTTAACAATATTACTATGATTGTTATTATTGTCATTATTGTTATTTTCATTATGATTATAGTGGTGATGATTATTATTATTGTTACTATTATCATTATTATTATTATTATGAGTATTATTATTATCATTGTTATTATTATGATTATTATTATTATCATTCTTATTATTGTGAGTATTAGTATTACTGCTATTTTGTATTATTTTTCTTTTTTGTTATTATCATTATTAGTGGTAATAGTATTTTTATCATTATTACTATAATTATTATTATTGTTATTGTTATTAGTTTTACTATAATTGTTATTATTAATATTATTATTATTACTATTATTGACTAGGTGTCTGAGGTGACAGGTGTGGAGATTTCATCAGTAACCAACGTCAATGGGGACTATGAGAGAACTGAGCATCGCTTGGTACCAGGAAGGAATTATCAGATCGAAGTCTCTGCAACGGGAACTGGGCAAAGTGATACAGTTGAACAAAGAACATGTAAGGCATTGTCTGTTGTTCAGAGGCAGGAGGGCATTAACTATAATCTGACACGGAGGTAATGCTCTTTGTGCTCTCAGTGGATGATATACACTTATAGGATGTTGTAACGTGTCCCTTCACCATTTTACATTCTTGAAGTATGCAATTAATGAGAATTAATTTTAAGCTATTCTTTAGATTGTTTACGATGTTTTAACATGTCCCTTTACCATTTTACATTCTTGAAGTATTCAATTAATGAGAATTAGTTTTAAGCTATTCTACAGGTTGTTTAGGATTTTTTTAGATACAGCCTTCCTGTATGCCTACAATTATACCATATTTCTCACAATTGCATCAGAAGTGTAACTTTAGACGGACATGGTGCATTACAAACAATCGCTATTATTATTATAATGATAACATTACTACTAACTACTATTATTCTCTTTTATCCCTAGTACCAAGTGCAGTGAGTGATGTTGATGTCGTGCCGGAGGCAGTGGCGTTGACTTTGTCCTGGGATCCTGTGTTTGGAGATGTGGATGGCTACTATGCTTTCTACCAACTCAAGGAGGATCCTTATCAAATATCTGATCTGTTCTATGTCAGTGATCCGTCAAATCCAATGGTAAGAGCTCTTGACATCTTCTTCTCTCTGTTTCTCTTTCTCTGCTTACCCCTTCCCTCTCCTTCTCTCCCCTCTCTCTCACTCTCTCTCTCTCTCTATCCTGCTCATTCCTTCCACATCTCTTATCCCGACTATCCCCCACTCTGTCCCTTCTCCTCCCCCACCCCTCTTTCTCTATTTCTCTCTTTGACCCTCTATTTTTATCGTTAAGGCTTTAACTATCTTTTCCTCCTTCCCTACCCAGACTCTCTCCTCGATGTAGCCCTTTCATGTTCATTGTTGCTATCTGTTGCTATCTCTATTGCTCTCTCTCTTTCTCTTTCTTTCCTCCCATATGTATAATTTCATTTTTGTGTAGCATGCATTTCTTTAAAGTACGCAATCTGGATTTAACCAAAGCATGCTATCATTTTTAAGGCATCATGAAATTACATGATATCATAATTTCATTTCAAATTATTTGCCCAACTATGGTTTATTTTGTAGGTACGACTTACAGGGCTGAGTCCTCTCTCAGAGTACATCATTACCGTGACATCATTTTCTGGTTCTGGTAGTGATCAAGAGATAAGCTCTTCTACTTTTGAAGCCTCTACAGGTAAATAATTATCATCTAAGCATAGCAGAAAATAGCAGTTTTGTTCATCAAGCATTCAGACAAAATTACTTTGTGAGAAATGATTGATCAAAAGTATCAAATATTTAAAACCCCTGCAGTGAAAGTAGAGGTTCATCACAGCAATTGTAAACCTGTTTTGAATTAATAAGTTTTTCTTTTTGAAATATAGGTCTCTTTAGATTGTGATACTATAGATTAACACATTTTTTTAATAATTAGCTCAAATGATTGTTTTACATAATATTCAGTGATATACAAGTACAAAGGTTCCAGGTTTGCAATAGAAACAATCACACTGTTTCCATGGTTCTTCCAATATCAGTGAATTACAGCCCAGCTGAGATTGTGATCGAAACCGTAACAAGCACAAGTATTGCTTTATCTTGGGGTGCTTCTATAAGTCCGACAGCGTCCAGTTACGTGATCGAGGTGTCAGATGCAGGGAACGTGGTGCATAGCACCAGCAGAGCATTATCCCAGTCTAGGTTTATCATCTTCACTAGCCTGACACCCGGCACACTCTATACCATCAGGATTACAGTGACTGGAAGTAGTGAGCAGGATATAGAGACTGCACTTACAGGTTAGTCAATATGAATATAGTATTCAGTAGCCCGTAAGTGGTTAGTCAGCAGATGTAAAGACTCCTAGCAAAAGTTATTGGTTAGTCAACATGTTTAAAGAATCTGAAAGACATCTACTGATTAGTCAACATGTGTAAAGGAAGAATCCTAGAGACATGTACTGGTTCATCAACTTTGGGAAATTATCCACTAGACAGTAACTGGTTGGTCAACATATGTAAGGAATCATAGAGACAGTTACTGATTAGTCAACATGTGTAAAGAATCCTAGAGATAGTTACCGATTAGTCAACATGTGTAAAGAATCCTGGAGATAATAACTGATTAGTCAACATTTGTGAATAATGAACAAGGCAGTTACTGATCAGACAACATTGTTAGAGAATCCCCAAGCTTCAACAATTTAGTTTCAACAAATCTTTTGTTAATCCCACATTCTCACATTGCTGACCTTGATTTGATGACCTTTGACCTTCCATCTTCCTCACAGTGCCTACTGCACCCAGGAGTCTGTCTACAGACTCTATTTCTCAGTCCATCGTCACCGTGTCCTGGTCTCAGGGTCTTGGCAACGTGGATGAGTATGACATCTACCTGAGGCAAGCAGGAGAATCAGAGATGCCTGCTCAAATCGTACCTCCCTCTCAGCTTACTCAAACATTTGAAAACCTTGAGCCTGCTACTGACTATTCTATGAGAATCATTTCTGTTGTTAGGGCTCAGGACTTGGAACAAAGGAGCATACCTGCAGTAACTAATTTCACCACCCGTAAGTGAAGATCCTAAGCCTCGTTCAGATACGATGCTGCCAAACTGCAGCATATATTTTATGATGACGTAAAGTGTAATACGCATAGCTATTTTGAGGTATCTTTGAGTGTTTAACGGGCAAGTCCACTCGAAAAATAACTTACTTTCAATAAAAGCAGACAAATCAGACAAACCAATCAAAAAAAGTTTGAGCAAAATCGGATAACTAATAAGGAAGCTATGAATCTTTGAAAAAGTATGTAAAACTATGGAACAATGAGAATCACAACACAATTTGCCAAGATGGTTATCAGTTTGTGACGTCATGTCCTCACAACTTATCAATTGCTTTATATAGTTTAATCCCATTAATTTCCCTTTTCCCGATTTCCCCATGCCTTTGCCCAGGTTATATCATTTGTATCATATTGCGTGCATGACATTTCACAAAAACTTTTGTGAATTTTGAAGAATTGATACTATTTTCTGAATATTGTATTTCATAATTATTGATTTTTATATAAATAGTTTATCAAAATTCAATTCCTCATGATTTAACTGGACATAAATTACTCTTTATTTGTGCATCCACACATAAACAAATATTACTAACAATGTGACTTGGATGCTGGTGTGAAGAAAGAGGATTCTTAGGGTGAAAATAGGAAATTTACATTAGCAATATAAAGAAAATATAATAAGTGAATAGTGAGGACCATACGTCACAGACTCATGAGTGAGTTGCCAATTTGTGTAGTGATTTTCAAAGTTGTTCATGTCATTAAAAATTCATAACTTTCTTATTAGTTATCCGATTTTGCTCAAATCTTTTTTGATTGGTTTGTCTGATTTTTCTGGTTCTATTGAAAGTAAGTTATTTTTGGAGTGGACTTGAGCTTTAATAGACTTGTGAAATCTCCGTTTAGAGGTAATATTACAACCTCATATTCTGAATATATTAAGGCAACATGTATATTAACCCATATGTACAAAGAAAAATATAATTTTGCAATTGGTACACTTTAAAATTGCAATTACAGTATCTTTTTCAATTCTGATAGAATTGATACAATAAATATTTGTACATAATGTATTTATTGCCATTGTTGTTTTCATGCCTCTCTTTTTGTATTCCTCATGAATCTACAGAACCTAGGATCATCAACGTGGCAGAAACTGGAAGAAATCTAAGGCTGTTCTGGGCCAATGATTTTGGAAATGACATCCTGAAATACCAACTTATCTACATCGAAGATAAAGAGGGAGCAACCTCTAATTCTGAGTTTGTTAGTCCTAGTGATGCGCCATCGGTCACCCTTATGAACCTGATGCCGGGCCAAACGTACACGTTGATCTTGACGGCTGTCCGCACTTCAGGAAACCGTGCTCAGATTGCATCCACCACTTACACTCTAAGTAATTCATTTTTATTTTCATTCTTCTATATGACCTGCAAGTAATTCTTATATTGTATGTGACCCGCATACTTCAGGTAACATCATTATCATCTTCATTCTTAAAAATTCACTGTTCTTTGAAGTGATGTTGTTGTCTCTTCATCCTTATACGAGACCTATCCATACAGATGTATGCTCTCAGTAATATCATTTTATATTATTTCTTACGCGTAACTTAAACTATTTCATATGTAGATGTACAATTACTTGAAGAGGGTGTGTACTGTATTTTGATTTCATTGTTTTTTTCCTATCCCATTTTCCATTTGTTCTGAATTCATGAATTTGCCTTATGAGAGAATACCAAGAGCATGTATACTATCTGTGTATGGAGCAGGCATGTACATTTAATAGAGTATAAATAGAATTAATCAAATTACATGTCGGCCTCATTCACACTTGAGTAGGTACCGGTATGCTAGGTGGACCTCCAAATAGATGCTTCTCCAAAAAGTAATTGTATAATTGTAATTTACACAATAGCAACCCTTTTCACTCCACATTTCGTTTTTTTATTCAGAAGCAGTTTTACAATTTGTTCTGCCTTTATCTAGGATTTTAAAACAAAAATCAGTACTGTCTAAGAAAGGCTTTGAGTTTGTTTCTATATCCTCGGTCTGAATCAAACAAATATTATCTTTTTATGAACAAAAGATGACACATCCTCCAGATGTTTATGCCTTACAAACGTTTTTTTGTTGTTGCTTTCTTTTCTACTTTTTTTTCGTCAGAACCTTTACGACCTACGTTCACTGTTAATCGTCGCTCTCCATCCGCTGTCAGCCTTCTTGGAAACCTGCTTGGTGGCATCCTGAAGTTCTTCCGTATCAGGGTTAATCGTCAAGGTACCGGAGCAGGAGCGGGCACGCCTATCGGCATCGATGTCTTGATCCCAGTAGAAGCGTGCCCTGAAATAGAGCTTACCGGTCTCATACCTAACACAGACTATCACGTCACTCTCCAAGCAGAGTCCAGTGTTGCCTCTAGCGATCTTGAAATTATTACATTCACTACACGTAAGTAAAGACTTTCTATCAGAATAGTTGATAATCATTGTGTTCAGTGATGCTGTTATTTGCATTCCCCCCCCCCCCCCCCCCCCCGTTGTTGCCTCCAGCGATACTGAAATTCTTACATTCACAACACTTACGTAAATACTTTCTATTGGATAAATTCTCTTGCACAGTGTGATAGTTGTTTCATGCCTCCGCAACGAAGTAGCCTGAGGCATGTTTTCAGGTTGACCATATGTCTGAACGTCCTGTTGTCATGATCGCGTTATCTCAAGAACCGATTGATAGATTCCCACCAAACGTGGGTCATGTATTTATCTTCCAGAGCCGATGAACTGATTTAGATTAGGGAGTAATGAGGTCCTGCTTCTCTTAAAACCAACTAACTATCAGGGTGACATTCCCCTTTCATTGCACAGCTCAGAGTCTTGTGATGAATTGTTTATATTATGAGTCATAGTACTATTATGAGTCCTGTTTTTCATGTTTATATCATGCTGTAAAAAAATGATATGTTATGTTTGTATAGTATTCCACTTCGTTCGACTTCGTAGTCTTTGATTTGTAAAGGGCCTCTCAGAACAACAGTTTTGATTAAATGACAGAGATACCCTGTGTAAATAAAATTAATAGATTAATTAACAAATTTAAAGTGTTACTTTCTCCTTCTTCTCCTTCTTGTTTTTCATCTAATTTTGCATGTATACGCATGTATTATAATGATTATGTTTGTATTATTGTTATTAGTATTAAGATTAAATTATTATTACTTTAACTAATACTTTTATAATTAGTATCATTATTATTATTATTAGTTATAACCATTATTATTATGATCAGAAATATCATATATGTCTATGATTTCTATCTCGACTGCAGCTGATGTAATGGAACAAGGTGAGCTGTCATTTGGAGAGGTAACCTCATCAGGGTTCACAGTCTACTGGTCACCTTTCCTTGGACGTACATCCTATGAACTCTCCATCAACAATCAAGCAGGGCTCGTAGTCCCTGCATCGGGTGATGCTGTTCAGTCTTACGAAGTGGATGGCCTGAGCTCAGGAACCTCGTATACGGTCAGCCTGGTCAATGGAGGGACAGAAACTATCAGGACCCGTAAGTCAGACCAGTCTTTGATACTCATCGTCCAAACTGAAATCAGAGATCATTTTAATTCCATACATTGTATGTCTAGAGCCAGAAGGGCATACACTCATGTCCTTTAACTCAGAAGTAACCACCTTCTGGCTTCAAACAGGCCTGTTTAAAGGCAGAAGTTCACGATCAGCCATGCATCAAGTCTTTCGTGCATGGCTGATCTTGAATGAAACAAAGTTAAGTCTTTTGTCAACTCTGTTTGTTGCTACGGCAGGCTGCCAGTGAAAGCGAATTTGTTTAATCAAATCATGGAAATGCAAGCATTCCTTTAAACAAACAGACTGGCTCATTTTTCCTGATATGAAAGGGCAGAAATGAACTTTCTAGAAATGTGATTTTCTCTTTGAAATTCAGATACCACCCGCCAAATGACTTTTTGGTAACCTCTTTACAAATTGTTTTTATATGCATCATACGAGTTGCATCAAATGAAAGAGGAAGACCTAAGCTTTACAAATATGTGTCATTTGTTAATTAAAATTGTGATTAAGTTATGATGAAACATTGATAATTCTTGGTTTTGTTTTTTTCTGGGATGCACTGTATAATGGAAGATATTACCAATGAGTTTGTGTAGTATTAAAAAAGGAACTGTGTATACAAGCCACCTGCCTACCTATAAAGAGCCTCTTTCTTGTCTTCAGGTGAGATGGCCATCAGTGATCTGTACTGTTGATGAAGTCATTGTGTATTAAAGCACATGTTAATTTGCCAACTCCACCCAGGTGAAGTAAATGGGTACCTGGTAGGATTATTACTTGAAATGCACTGTGTGATGATAACGGCTTCCGAAGCTAAGGTAATAATTTTCAAAGCTCTTTGGAAGCACACAGGGACATAATACCAAAAGGTGTTATGTGCTGTACAAGAATGGAATATTATTTTTTTCCCGTCTATGTTTCTTAGGTCCTCTTGCGCCAGGGACCCCCATAGCAACTCAGGTATTGGACACCAGTATTCAGCTTCAATGGGCTCAATCATCAGACGGTAGTGTTGCCGGATATGAGGTCAGTCTGAGTGTATCTCTCTATCATATCTACATGTACAGTTAACAACTAATTTATTCATACCCCCTCGTAGATTCAATGTTTTTGTTTATCATTATTCGGGAAATAAAAGTGGGGTGGTTGACTTTGTTAAATACCTTTTAATAGATGTATGCCTTAATATGTCACTTTCTCAAGAAACATATATCAGGACAAATCAATTTTTCTCAAACTTGAAAAATTGCACAACTTGGTAAGGGTATGAATAATAGTTTACTGTATATATATCAAGTCAAGTTGTGAATGTAATAACAATCACCTTTTAACAGCTAATTAGCTTCCTACATGTATGTTATACAGTTGTGTGAGGCAGGATCTCTCATTCTAATTTCATTTTCTCCCTTAGATATGTTATTCCCCTGATGACGGATCCAGCCCTGTTTACATCGCAGGTAGGACCACCACTCAGTACACCCTCGAAGGATTAAACTCTGACACAACATACATCATCAGCATCTCTGCCCTCACAGGAAATCCACAGGTCAAGAGTCAGAAGCAAACAATCTTTGTCACAACAAGTAAGTCAGAGAAGACCTAGTGGTAGACCTAGTAGTAGAAAGTAGTAGTAGTAGTAGTAGTGGTAGTTGTTGTAACAGTAGAAGAAGAAGTAATAGTAGTAGTAGTAGTAGTAGAAGTAATAGTAGTAGTAGTAGTAGTAATGGTAGTTGTTGTAACAGTAGAAGAAGAAGTAATAGTAGTAGTAGTAGTAGTAGAAGTAATAGTAGTAGTAGTAGTAGTAGTGGTAGTTGTTGTAACAGTAGAAGAAGAAGAAGTAATAGTAGTAGTAGTAGTAGTAGCAGCAGTAGTAGTAGTAGTAGTAGTAGAAGTAGTAGTAATAGTAGTAGTAGTAGAAGTAGTAGTAGTAGTAGTAGTGGTAGTTGTTGTAACAGTAGAAGAAGAAGTAATAGTAGTAGTAGTAGTAGTAGAAGTAATAGTAGTAGTAGTAGTAGTAGTGGTAGTTGTTGTAACAGTAGAAGAAGAAGAAGTAATAGTAGTAGTAGTAGTAGTAGCAGCAGTAGTAGTAGTAGTAGTAGTAGAAGTAGTAGTAATAGTAGTAGTAGTAGAAGTAGTAGTAATAGTAGTAGTAGTCGTAGTAGTAATAGTAGCAATAAGAAATTCTGGTGGAAGTAGTAAAGAGAAGTGGATTGAAATGGATGGGTCATGTGATGAAAAGGGAATAAGATGAACCTGTGAAAAGACCTTGGGATCTGGAAGTGGATGGCATAAGAGGGAAAGGAATACCAACGATTTCACGAAAAAATATGGTGAAGAAAGAAACCAGTAAGATTGGTCTAAATGAGGACAATGCTAAAAAAAAGAAGAAGTGGAGGAAGGGAATGTCATGGCGCAAAAGTCAGTAACCCCTTGTAAAAGGGAAAATGCTGACAGTAATAAATGATGATGATTGTTGATAATGATACTTGTCTATAATGTTTCCTATTTTAGTTGCTGACACCACCATCCCCATGGCTAGTAACTTTGCAGTGACCAACACTCAGGCTGCAGACCATGTCATCATCCTGGAATGGGATGTTCCTGAGAGAGCATCCTACGATTACTTTGAGGTATCGTACACCCCAGACGTCGGCTACCCATCTTCACCGGTCAGGCTGCCCAAGGCTGCTACCAGTCTCAGCATTATGAATGCCTTGGCAGACAAGGTGTATCAATTCAGTTTGGTCAGCATTAGAGGAGATGAGAGGACTGACCCACCTCTTACTACCACAGGTCAGATAGGTAAGCTGTGGCATAACTAACCAATTTGACTTTTAACCATTACTGAATGTTGTTGAACACCAAGCAATAGACGTGTTGTAGTCAAGTGGTTGCAAAACTTGACTGGAGATACAATGGTCATCGTTTCTTGCTGCTGGGTAGCACCAGTGTCCTTTGGCAAGACATTAATCTAAATTTGCCTCTCTCCACCCATGTGTAATATGGGTACTGGAACAAAGGAATTTCTTAATTGCTGTGAGCACCGAAATCGGTAGCCTAGCAGGCCCAGGGTACTACTAGAGCACTTTGTGCAGGACTAATGTCCTTTGACAAGATATTAATCCAAATTTGGCACTCTCCATCCAGGTTTTAAACATGTACTGGGGGAAAGGAATGCCTTTATTGCTGTGAGCACCGAAATTAGTAGCCAGCAGATCATCAGGGGTAATATTAGAGCATCCTGAGCAACTTGCATGGTGGATATATGCACAATGAAACTATCCAAGTTTAATGTTATTATTGTTATTTAAAAAAAATTATTCTCGCACTGATTGATGCTTTTTCGTGCAGCTGTTAATAACCTGATTGTTGTGATCGGGGAGAGAACCACCACATCTCTGGAGATCTTATGGGGTGCATCGGCATCGGGGTCTGTTAATGAGTACCAGGTCTCTTACGGTGGATCAACTCCCATCGTGGTTGATGGGTCCAGTGATAGGAGGGTGGTCATCCCTGGACTTTCACCTGGAACAGAGTACACAGTGACTGTGCAGGCCATAAACGCTGGAGCATCTGTTGGAGATAGCATGGAAACAGCATCTACGTGTAAGTACCATCCTTTGTATCCTATAGAAAACCATGCCCCTGTCTTATGTAAAGAGATGTGGTCGATTCCTTGATATAAGCTACTGAAATCCATGCATCTGACTGTTTCTGCAAAAATATACATTAGATAATGATTAATAGTTGTTGCTTTCATCAAGTTTTATGAAACATTTTTAGATGGGTATGTAAATAAGTACCATAGTGAGTGGTTTTTCTTTGTGAACAACATCAAATTATTTTTCATTACTTGTATTTATTATTCATTATTTAAAAAATTTATTATAACTACTATCATTATTGTAAATGTTTATTGCAGTGCATGAAATGAACGGGCTTTCCGCTATGGTGACTGATCAAGCATCATCGATGATTCATCTGACCATAACTCCACCTTTCGAAGATCCCATGAGATATGATGGGTACAATGTACGAATTCGTCTAGGTGGCGTCTCCAGTCCTGTCGTACAGCCGGTTATCCCAGTCGCTAAATCAGCTTGTCCAGAAATTTGGATCAAGAAACTTGAAGCAGCCACCATGTATGAAATCGACATTGAGTGGTATAATGGTCTGGATATCAGTGAAGCATTCAGAGTTCAAACCAGCACAGGTAACAGACAAATCCTATCGCTATGTGTGTGTCACTGCATATGTGCCAGCCACTCCTATATCACAGAAATAAGTCTTATTTTCTGGCCTTCGGACTATATGATATGAACCCTAGATTCCTCTCTTTTTCTGAAAACTTTTTTTTCTGTATTTTTGAATAAACATAAGTACATGCACATAAAATATAGCAGACCATGCTGCTTTGTTTGTTTGCAGTTACTTATAAATTTAGGACCGTCAATACTACTGGGCCAGAATGTATTAGACCACACAGCGAGTTCACTGACAGGTGGCTATCTCATTAACTCAGCTCTCAACTAACATAAGAAAAAGAGGATCATGGGGAACCAACAGGCACCGATTGGGGAAGTTTTCTATATAGGGAGCAAGTAGCTACAAGTAGGACAGTGGGGCTTTAAGGACTAAGTAAAATTGGAAATGATGATATGAAGGAGCCTATTACATCAAAGCTCGTTGGTGAGAGGCTCCAGAGGGTCTCAACAGAAGATACTTATGTATTTCAAGGGGATTGTCAATGAATTTCTTCATGTAACTCCCACAGTTGCTGCTGCACCGCTGGACATCACTTTAGATGAGCTGGAAACAGACTCCATGAAGGTATCTTGGCAGGAAGGTACAGGCTCCTTCTCATATTACCTTGTCACCTACAGCCCTGTTGGGTCAACGCAGATGACAATGCTGGTAGCAAAAGGAGAGCCAAGGGTCCTGGATCTAAGTGGTCTAGTACCTGGTACTGCCTATACTATCATGGTCCAACAGCAGGGACAAACTCCGGCCCAAGAAACACATGTCCAGCTTACGCGTAAGTCACTCCATTAATCATGTGAAGCCCAAGTGATACAACACGTTCTGTGTGTTTAAGGATTCTCTTTATTTCAGTTTCAGTGGCAATATCAAAGCCAATTTTTGTGAATCCACAGTTTTACTACCAGGGTGAGTTTACAGGGTTTTGGCAACACTACAGTAGACGAGGGTACATACAGTGTATAATGTTTCAATTACATAGTTTGCCGTTCGAATCCCACCGCGGCATTAATTTCCTTTAGCAAGACATTACAATAAAAAATTTGCCACTCTCCACCCAGGTGTTGAATGGGTTCCCGGTAGGAGGCAAACGTTGAAGTGGCTGGATGGGCATGTGTGCTCTTGTTAAATGGCGCCTGGCCGGATTACTCCCCAGAGAGCAGATCATGTGCACACTCATGTGCGGATTAGCAATGTAATCAAATAACCAGGGTAATGATAATTCAACAATGTAAAGCATTTAGAAACGAAGTATTAATTGCTAAACAGATGTGACTATTGTTAGATATCATTAAAAGGGTCGTTATAAGCATCTCTAACCTGCAAGTATTGTCTTCCCTGCAGTGCCTGAAACCATCAACAGTCTGAGTGTTACTCCCAGTAAGAACGTATTAGATGCCACATGGAGTGCACCCTCTACAGGCAGCTATGATGGATATAGAGTGTGTCATTACCCACGTGGTACTCAGGTGAGTATTATAGGAAATCCTCTAAATACTCATGATAACAGTTATTTTAATAGTAATAGCAGAAGTAGTGGTAGAAGTAGTAGTAGTAGTAGTAGTGATGGTAGTAGTAGTATTAGTAGCAGCAGTAGTAATGATAGTAGGAGTAATACATGGAATCTAAAAAAGATGGAACTGAAAATACTACTTCTACTATTAAACACTAATACTAATTGTAATCCTGCTGCTGCTGCTGCTGCTACTACTGCAGTTAAACCTGTCTTAGTGACCACCTGTCTATTAGAACCACCTACCTAATGGAACCAGCTTTCGAAGCAACCATAAATATGCTTTTCAAATACATGATGAAAGAATTATTGCCTCATGTATAGAACTTCAGACATTTACAATATCAATATTTGATACTCCTGACGACGGATAGTCAACCTGTTCGAAACGTCGAGCCACTCCCGCCACTCATCCTCTCCAAGCGCTATAGTTCTCCTCCTTAGAACTATAAGCTAAGAAAGATAAACAACAGTCTTTTTCAAGACTACACAAACAGTCCTTTTCAGGACTACACATCCTCAAGAAAGATTACCGAGAGTCCTTTTCAGGACTCCTCAATCATCTCTCACCCCCAAGCCTACTGTACAGTGCGTCCCAGAAAAAAACAAAACCGAGAATTATTGATGTTATAACTTAATCACATTTATCATTACTAAACTCATACGATGCATATTTCACGCTTGAGTGATTAAACTGAATTTGAAGAGAGGAAACCAAAAAGTCATTTGGCGGACGGTATCTGAATTTCAAGGAGAAAATCCCAATTCTAGAAGGTTGAGTTTCTGCCCTTTCATATGACACCTCAATCAGGAAAAGTGAGCAAGGAATGACAAAGTTCTGTTTGTTTAAAGTAATTGCTTGCATTTCCATAATTTTATCAAACGAATTTGTTTTCATTGGGTGCCTGCCATAACAACATGCAGAATTGACAACAGACTTAACTCCGTTTCGTTGACAATCAGCCATGCATGAAGTCTTTCGTCTGCTTTATTGTTTGTTTCAGAACTCTCCGTATACCTCGGGCACCACACCATCTATAAACCTCCCTGGACTCAACAGTCTGACCTACTATCTTGTAACAGTCTCAAGCAGTGAAGAATCAACTTACAGTGAACCAACCACCATCACACGACAGACACGTAAGCTCCAGGAAAACCAAGTCAGGAATTAAGTGAAAAAAATAGAGAATTTCAGCAGTCTAAAAAGAAAGAATTCAGTCTCTCATATCTTGGCTTTTTTACCAAACAGTGTATTCTTTAGATGATTGGCAAAGCTTTTTGTATGCTTCTGTTCATCAAAGGTGATTTGATTTGACATCGTTTATTCAAGAATCTGTGCAGGTTATGAAAATGAATTGTGATTTGTTTTTATTGAACTGAGATGAAATAAAAATATATGTATAAGTAGTAAATATGAATAATTACAGTAATCATCAATAGTGAATATGATTTTCAACTGATTTGGATTACAATATCAACAATTCAAAAAGCAATATGAGTGTCTTTGAGTAATTGATAGCAATGGGTATCGACATCAACACATTTTCAAGGTAGAATTAGTTAGTAACGTTTCATTATATATATATATATATATATATTATAGTTATTGAATGTATTATTATCTAAGTACAACTTTGTAAAGCGCTTAGAAACATTGTAATAAGCGCTATATAAATATAATGTATTATTATTATTATTATACGTTTCGTGGTCCATATTCTGGAAAAAAAAAACAACTAGTAAAGGACACTTTCTATCAAATGTTAAGGTGGTACTGTTTAAATGGTTAACATGTCCTACTATCGTTTGTTTTGTTTCATTTTCAGTGATCGGTGATCCAGGAGATATCAACATTGCCCTGGAAGACATTGACACAAAGTCAGTCAGAATCACTTGGGTTGCAATTAATAGCATAACGAGGTTAGTACAGTTTTCATGAGTATTTAATTATACAGTAGGCTTGCAGATGCACCATGTGAGAGAGAGGTAGTCCTGAAAAGGACTCTCGGTAATCTATCTTGAGGGTGTGTAGTCCTGAAAAGGACTGCTGGTGTAGTCTTGAAAAAGACTGTTGGTTATCTTTCTTAACTTATAGTTCTAAGGAGAACTATAGCCTCGATCGGAGAGGATAGGTGGCGGGAGTGGCTTGACGTTTCGAACAAGTTGTCAGGAGTGGAGAATAGCTGGCGTGCGTGACCTTAAGTCACCGGGGTACGAACATGGGGTACTACACATGACCGTGTGGGCTGGAGTCACCGGGGTTGTGGATTTGGGTGGTCTGCTTGTCTGTCTGGGCTGGAGTCTCCGGGGTTGCGGACTTGGCGGTATCTCAAATCCATGAGTGGGGCGTGCTGTCGGCGAGACGTTAAGTGTGTACCCGACACCGGCGTAGGCGGTATTGTTGTGTCTGTGAGATGATGTGTGTGTCCCCGACGTAGGTGGAGCTGTGGAGTCGTCGAGACGTTGTGTGTGTCCCTGACGTAGGCGGCGTTGTAGTGTGCTGTCGTCTGCTGTGCATTGTAGCTGTGAGGCTGGCAGCTGCTTTGTGGGTTCGCCTGGAGGCGGTGGTTGATGTACGGGTGTCTGCGGCAGAGGTGAAGGTGGTGCATATGGTGGAGGTGAGACCGGTGACTTGTTGATGAGGGGTTTCCAGATGTCGTTGATGTATAATCCTGAGTCTTGGGGCACGGTGTTGTGGCGGTGAATTTCGATGGGTTCACGGAGTCGGAGTGTATGCCACTGTTTCAAATGGAGATGAGATGACTGTTATCCCATTCGATGGTGTGTTTGACGATGGCAGACTTATCCCAATCGCTGAGTCTGAAGCTGGTTCTGTGCTCCTTGAGTCTTGTTTTTAGATTTCTCCCCGTTTCACCAATGTAGACTTTTCCACATTTGCATGGTATATTGTAGACTTCAGCTAAGTATCGAATGGAGTTTGTTGGAGGAACTGTGCCAAACTTGGATGTCTGCTGCTTGAAGGATACGTTGAATCTTGATTGTGAGAGGCTTGACCGATATAGGGTAGAACAACAGTTTGTTTTGGTGGTGTAGCTGCGGGTTGGTTCTCTTCAGGGCTGGTGTTGGCTGCGAGCTTGCTGGCGGGAGTCCTGGACTTGATGTCTTGGGTATTTGTTGATGGGAGTTAGGGCTGTGGTGATATGCTGGATTTCCTGGTCTAGATGGTCAGCATCGCTGTGTTGATGGGCTCGGCGGATGAGGGCATTGGTGACTGATTGTAGTACGGATCGATGGTGGAAGGATCTGTAGTGAAGATATCTATCGGTGTGTGTGGGTTTTCTGTCGACTTGGTGAGCGGGCTTGCCAGATGGCGATTTGGTAACAAGGACGTCTGGGAAGGGAATGCTGTTGTTTAGCTCGGTCTCCATGTGCCTTAACCCTTAAAAGGCTGGGCTATTTGAGGTCTTAGTACGGCCGAGGTGGGGGGGGGCCATTTTGGCCCCCCATTAGATCTCGACTGTGAAACGGCCGATCTCCACGAAAAAAAAACACGCAAGTCAAGTGAAGTGTAAAGAATAATATAATAATTCCAATTTTGTTAAAAACTCACTCATTTGCATATTTATGGTAATTTATGCAAATAAGGTCATAAAATCACATTTTATCCATAAATCATATATTATTCATATTTAAGCATTCTTTTTCACTACATATATTCATTAGACCATTTGAAATAAAAAAACAACCAAAAAAATTGGAAGAGCCAGCTTCTTCCATATGTCATCTCTTGTTTTTATAATTTCTTATGTATTTCTTTGTTTTTTTAATAAAAATAATAATGATAATAGTCTAATAGTCCACTCCAAATTTTATTAAACCGAAATAGAAATTCTTTTTGCCCAATTGATCGTGAGCCCGGCAGCCACTGAGCAGCGCCAGATCGATGTTGCTCTATCCCTTATTGTTAAATGCCAAACAAGGTAGCAACAACTCCCATCTTTTAACGTCTTTTGGTATGACGCGGCCGGGTTCAAACCCACGACCTCCCGGTTCTGTGACAGGAATGTTGGTGAAGAGAGATTTTACATCGAAACTGACCATGATGTCTGTATCGTGTATGGTGGTCTTTTGAAAGAATGTTGACGAAATATTGATGTTATTGATGTGGTGCTGCAATTGTCCTACGAGTGGTTGGAGAATCGAGGTCAGGTGTTTAGCTGTGTCATAGCAAGGCGATCCTCGGGTTGAAATGATGAGCGAAGTGGAATGGTAGGTTTGTGTATCTTCGGCTGGCCAAACAGGATGGGGCAGGTTGCTGAAGATGAACAAAATTTGAAGTAGAGTGGCTTGGATATGACTTCTGTAGCTGTGAAGAGAGAGGAGTTGCTGGTTGAGTTTCCTTCCCGTTGCTAGTGTGGGATCCTTCTTTAGTTGTTTGAATATTTACTTTTAATGCACTAAACATGGATGTTTGTTTGTTTTAACTGACTGCTAAGTAAGCATGTGTATGCTTGTGAGCAAGCGACCAGGGATCAGACGACTTTAAGTCCTCTTGTTGAGGATCTTGGTGATGAGGATTAATGCCTTACCGAAGGGCACGAGTGTACCAAATTAGTGTCGAACCCAGGATCACCAGATTACGAGACTACATCTCTACCACTGAGCCATTGTTCCTCTCCTGGATGTATATGTCCTGAGGTTTGAATGTGTGGGCTATTTTTAATCAAATAACCAGCATAATGGTTAATCTAAAAAAAGGGCTTAGAGAGATGAATTAAGATTTAATAAAGGCCTATTTAAATTATTATTATTTTTATTCTTTATTTTTTTTAAATTTTTACCAATTTTTATTATTTATTCATTTTATTACAGTCAAACCTGTTTTAGCAACCACTTGTAAAGAAAGACCACCTGTCTGTAAAGACTACATTTTCTCCCTTTGAGTATGGCTTCTTGTTGAAACCTGTACCAAAGGAACCTTAAAATGAAAGGCATGTCTATAAAGACCACATTTTATGTTTCCCTTGAGCGGTCGTTATATTCAGGTTTCACTGTATTATTGTTATTATGTTTATCATCGTCATTATGATCATAATTATTATTAATTATTATGATTATTATAGGTACACTGTAGGAGGTGGGATCGGAGCACCACAAACTGTGACAGTCAACTCACCTGAGGAAGCTGAATACACCTTTACCAGTCTGGTGCCAGGCACTAGCTACACCTTCTTTGTAGAACCTCTGGGAAATCAAAGGAGAGAAAGAGAACAATATACAAGTAAGATGAGCTTCTTGCATAACTATGTTTAATAGGCTGACTCCCTGCAATGTGTCTATATGACATTCCCCCCCCCCCCCATTTATTTCATGCAAAAATTGATATGACCATTGAATAATGGATGGTTGGTGTAAAATACTAACATTATTCTATCGTCGTGTCAAGAGATTTTATCACTGTTAATGAAAGAAATTGGAAAACGGCTATAATTATGTTGTATGGTACACATTGCATGGAATCACCAATCGGCGGAAGTTGTTTCTAACATGGTCAGTCATTTCACAGAGCTCTAAATACATTGTAGTTATCTCTAATAGAGATTGTAAGTTATACCTTTACATGTATGTGAAATGTAAGCAAAGAACAATTTCATTGACAATAAATTGAAATTGAAATTATTGGAATTGAAATCGTACTTCATAAATATTTCTTCCTAATACAGAGCCGGACATGCCGAGGAATCTGATCTTCAATACGATTACCGCAAATTCTATCAGCATCAAATGGGAGCGGCCTCTTATGGGTGGTGTGGACAGCTATAGAGTTACGTACTCCCCATCCTCCGATGGTAGCCCCGCATCTCCCCATACCATAACGGATAATGGACAAATCACCCAGACTCTAACGGTCACAAATCTTCTCCAAGGAACCACATATACATTTAATGTGTATGCTCTTGTAGCGGACCTAGTCAGCGAACCAGTAACGAGAGGGAGCGGTGAGTAGAGTTATCCCGATTCTTCTCTTTCCTTCTAAATCTTTAGAAGTTATAAAATTAGTAATAATTATTCTGATTACCCAGGAAACAGCTGATAGAGGACTCATACAAAAGCTAATCATCATCCCCTACACAGTACAATATATCAAACAGTTAAGGATAAAAGAGTATATTGGAAGAAAAGAATTTCATGTCAAGACACGTGAAGTTGAATTATTACCTCACATCGACGTTGTTTCAACGCAGTGCCACGCAAGTAATATCCCTGTGCCTCATGGCATTAATCATGGGACACACTTTAAACCACAGGAAGAGAGTTTACTCCAAATTAGGTTTACCAAGACCAGAAATGGGTAATTTTGCAAAGATTTTGTGTTGCTTGAAGCAATTTTTTTTAAATTGGAGGTGTCATGTTCTATCACATACCGGTAAGTCCCTAGACTTTGGAGCAAAAGGTACAGCACAAATGTCCTCTGGCATTAATCTATAATGGCCACTATCTACCCAGCTGAAGTAAATGGGTTTCCAGTAAGAATTATTTCTTTGAAATGCTAGCTAGAGCACTGTAAGATCAGCCAAGCTAAAGGAGGGGTAATAGCAGCTAGTGGAGCGTCAGGAGTGCAAACCAGGCGCGTACGCAGGGGGGGTGTTTGGGGGGTTAAAAACCCCCTTTGGTATTTTTACATGTATAAACCCCCCTAAAAAAAACCTAAAACCCCCCCCCCCCCCCCCCTTTGGATTATTTTGTTTTGTTTTTTGTTTTTTTTTGTTATTAAAAAAAAAAAAAAAAAAAAAAAATTACCTCCATGGCTGACCTAAGAAAGGTGACCTTACCCCCCCCCCCCCAACGGAGCAAAATGTCAAATTTTCAAATTTCGAGACCAAAAAAAAAAAAAAAAAAGTGTCCTCTTACCCCCCCCCCCCCCCCCCCCCCCCCCCCCCCCCCCCCCCCCCCCCGCCTATTCAGCGGCCGGTTGAGTCGTTGCGATTTTTTTGGGACCAAAAAAAAAAAGAAGTGTCCGCTTACCCCCCCCCCCCCCCCCCCCCCCCCCCCCCCCCCCCACTGAGCGACTTTTCGGCTGGCTGAGTCGTTGCGATTTTTTTTTGGACTCCCTAAAAAAAAAAAAAGTGTCCGCTTACCCCCCCCCCCCCCCCCCCCCCCCCCCCCCCCCCCCCCCCCCCCCCCCCCCCCCCCCCACTGAGCGACTTTTTGGCCGGCGCAATTTTCAAATTTTCCTGAGTCGTTGCGAAATTTTGGACCCGATTTTAAAACCCCCCCCTTGAAAAAATCCTGCGTACGCCACTGGTGCAAACTATGATAGACACGAGTACGGTATTATTTTGTGCAGATCTGCATGCTTGGCAAAGAAAAGTTAATAGTGATGTCTTGTTGCTGTCTACATGTAGGAACCTACATCGGGATGGACATTGGTGCTGATTTCATCAGTACCCAGTTCACTGTCCTCTGGGACGTACCCACGGCCGGCGTCTTCAACCAATTCCAAGTCACCTATGATCCTTACGACCCTACTCGTCCTAACATTCAGGAGTCTCCGCGCATCATCTCGGTAAGCTCCTTGAACGGAGCACAGGAAGGATCTCTGCTCATCTACGGCCTTGAGCCTGGACAGCTGTACAACGTATACGTGCAGACGATGCTGAACGGCTTGCAGACCGATGACGGCTTTGGGAGAATATCATTTAGAACCCGTAAGATCGATCATAATTTAGTCCAACCTGTCTATAAAGGCCACCCAAGGGAAACAGGAAAACTGGCCTTTGTATACCGATTCTAAGACACACATTTTTTTATCAAGGAAGACAAAGTGCACTGTCACTATAGACAGGTCCTCTTTGTGACAGGTGTTTTTTGTTGGCCTCCTGTACTGAAATACCACATTTTTTTGTTTCCCTTGAGGCTTGAATTGATGATCCTCATAGAAATATGTTATTATAAAGAACCTGCCTATAAAGACCTACAAAGACTGATTTTTTTGTGTTCCCCTCAGGAGGTATTTCTACACAGGTTTTACTGTAATAAAATTACGTAATAATTGTTTTTTATTCCATGTACTGAATTCATTTACAATTCGAAACATGATATACATTTAGTAGTCAAACCTATAGAAGGGCTCTCATGACTTTATTGCGATTTTATCATTGTATATCTTGTGATTATATTTATTGTCATTATTAATTTTGATTATTAATCACATTGTTTAACGATTGCATTATATAAAAGGAGTAATTCTATAATGATTTATGAGTTATAGTGATTATTTAATGTCATTATTAATGTCATTGTTCAACGATTGTATTATATCAAAAGAGTGATTCTATAATGATTTCATTGTGATGATTTCATCCTAATGCAGCCCCACTACCAGTGACGGACGTCGTCATAACCCAGCGCACACCCTACTCCCTGTCGCTAGACTGGAGCGATGTCATATCGGCCGACATCCAGTACAGAATAACATACGCACCAATGGAAGGAGCGCTTTTTCCAAACGACGAGGATTCTGCACAAGTACTGTCATCTAATCAGGTCTCTGAATCTCAGATTTCTGCTAGAAGCTTGGCTCCTAGTAAAGAGTACGTCTTCACTGTATCCCCTGTGAGTGGGGATCCTAGCAGCTTTGAACAGGTCGGTGAGCCGCAGACAGTGGTTACATACACACGTAAGTTCTTCCTCCTCTATTCAACTTGTTTAAACCTTTGTGAAGGTTTGATATGGTTTACCATTGAAAAACTTCAAAACAGGAGCCATAATAACAAGGTTCTCACAGTCCTGACAAAACCTTGAAAGTCACAGAAAATGGACTGTCAGTTTGAAATGACAATGGGCTTGGTATTCGTACAATGCTTGGATGCCTGGCACAACCCATATAAAAATGCTACTTTTCCAGTCATGGAATCAGGCAAAAAGTTACCAAGAAGTTTGGAAACGTTACTCTACTTCTTTCAATTTATTTCGCTCCCATTATTCACCAATCTGACTGTGCGCGCACACATATTCATGAATATTTATAAGATTCATTTTGTTATGATTTGCACAGAACCACTGAGTCCACAGAACCTGGTTGTTGGTGATGTTGGTGTTGAGGAGGTTTCACTGTCATGGAATCTACCGGCTGAAGTCAACTTCCCAATAGCTTATTACGAGATAGACTTGGTACCCAACGAGCCTACGTTCCCAATACGTAAGTGATAATGATTCAAATTTAATGATAATGATGATAATAATGATAAGAAGAAGAATGAAGATAATGATAATAAAAGGAATCGTTAGTAATAATTGAACTTTATTATACATGGATATTGCCTTTCTAGAGGGTACAAGGGGCTGTAGCATTGCAGAGCTTAGGAAAGATTGAAGCGCCATAAGCGTGGTGGATATGTGCGCTATAAAAATATCCATTATTATTATTATCATTGTTGTTTCCGTTTAATTGCAGGTATTAACAGCACACCAGACCGATGGAAAATACTTGCCGGCCTTGTGTCTGGCCGGGAGTATCAAGCTGTGATGAGGTCTGTTATTAATGTCAATGGCCAGGTTATATACAGTGAACCTGTACAATCAGCTTTCTTCCTCCTAGGTAAGTTAATTAACCCTTTACCGGGTACTTCTTCTTTTTTTTCTTTTGTTGACTCTGCCTCCTTCAGGTGAACATCGTGTGTGTGTCACAACAGATCTGAAGTACACAATTTATATATCAATGTTCAAGTAACATATCCTGTCCTGTTTCTCCCCCCTACATAATATACGCCTCTATTATAGTAATCTGTATTCATTCCATAAATTTGTCAAAATAGTGAGAAATGTCTAACTTTAGCACTCTTTATCCACAAGCCTCAAAATACTATCTTACACATAAAAACCCTTGAACTGCAGGTAAAATGAATGAGTGCGCAGACCATCGCCTATTCCTTTAAAAATGACATTGTTCTTGCTCGTATTTGGACTAAAATGTTGGCACACTTTACTCTCTAGAATCTAAGGAAGAAGATGAGATCAAGACTAAGAGGAATATGACAGAAAATTCTTGTTAATTTCAAGTGAAATGTTAGGTGCGGAGACATAAGAAATCCCCTCTTCGTACTATGTTAAAACAGTTTGAATTTGAATGTCCTTTTATGAATCAGATCCTGTGCAGCCCCAAAGCTTGAGCACACCATACGTCACTACAACAGAACTCAGAGTGGAATGGACGCTAGGGAATTCTGACTTCACTACCTTCCAGGTAAAACATTTTTTTCTCTCTTTTTACAAATGACTCCCTTTTCTTCTTCTTCTTTTCCTTCAGATTCTTTCCTTTTTCTTTCTTGTTTTCTTTCGCTCACTTTTTCTTTTTCTTTCTCTTCTTCTCCTTGTTCTTACTTGTATTTTACATTGTATCACTTGCATTCAATTTGTTTCATTTCTTTTTGGAACAGACTCTAAATTCCCTACACTTTTACATTTTATTTTGTTTTGTTTTAATCTCAGGTGTCATTAAGTAAGGATTCAGCGACCATCTTGACCACAGACACGCCAGAGCGGTCACTTTTGTTGACCAATTTGACCGTTGCTACAGTGTATGACATCAGTATTAGGACCGTAGTCCAGGGACAACAGACTAATATGATCAAGACCAGTGCAGGAGCACTCATAATGGCTGTCACTACTAGTGAGTCTCCCTTAACCCTTTCACTGTGAGATTCTTTAATATCCCCATAGACTTTGTACAGGGCCCAAACGGTTCATGTAAGCCACAGGTTAATAGACTTCACAAAAATTTACACGAAAGTCATATAAAGAAACGTTGAAATTAACGTACACAAAACTCATAAAAAGAAATGTTGTTTAAAGAAAGTACCAGTAGTTTAATTTGTAAAGGCTGTCTAAAGTGATTTGAACCTGTTGCCTCCTCATTTCTCTACCTACATTGAGCTTGATGCAAGGACAAACATGTTTCTATTTAAAGCAATGGGTTAAAATTGTCTCAGTTTTGCCCTTAAAAAGATGAGGTATTCTTGTGTGCTTTTTTTCAAGATTCAAGATTTATTTGATTCAATACTTATAACCTTTATGGTTATTGTTACTGAATTTACATATTTAAAAAAATGTCCAATCCAAGTAAAATACAATGGTAGAAAAAAAGTAAACAAATTGGAAATCAAAAGTGACAAAAGAAATTAATCTAGGAATGGAAAACAATGATATTTCATTTAAAAAACACCCAGTTGAAAGTAGTTAAACAAATTAAAAATCAAAGAATTAGGAAATTTTCAATATGAAGAAAAACTCAATCACTTTTGCAGTAGCCCATCACACTACTCATTATTCTTCTCATTATTTTTGTTTGTAGAATCTGAGCCGCCACAGAACTTGATGCAAGATGAAGTAACGAGTGATTCCATCACAGTCTCCTGGGGCGCACCGCTCAATGTCGTCAATATGTATCATATCATCGTCAAAGATGAGGATGGAGCGAATGTAGCCGATGTAAGCTCATAGTTTAAAGCCTCACTGCACTCCTTATAGCTACTTGCGCCCTCTATATAGCAAACAATGTCTAATCGGTGACCGTTGTTCCCCCATGATCCCCTTTTTCTTATGTTTTAATTGAGAGCTGATTTGATGAGATCATCACCTGTCAGTGACCTTGCAGGGAGTCTCATCTCTCCTGGCTAAACTAGTGTAGACAGGTTTTAAAGATTAAAGATTCAAGTTTATATCATAAAATAGTCCAAAGATTTGGTTTCCATTGGTGGTGCATGAAATATGAATACACCTTCAACCCCGTCCAGGATCTCAGCCATGAAATAATTTTAAAGCAAATGAACCTCGGCACACTGATGTGGCATTTTCTAATGAATTAGTCTCTGAAGTTACATATCAATATCTCAAACAGTTTCGGAAATATGGAATGAATTATTATTAATTGTTTAATATAATTCAAATGTTCAAATGTTGACGATTATGCCATGTGTTCAAAACATGTAGAGAAAGGTCCATTCTGGCCATGCATAGCATGGTGACCTTTGGTCAGGTTTCTGTATGACTAATTCTAAAACACTTTGGTTCTACTTTCAGGCCACTGTACCGTCGAGTGAAACCAGCTATACAGTAGAGAACCTCAACCCGTATACCAAGTACATCATCACAGTTGCTGCACAGTTTAATGGCCTGGATAGTGATGCCATTGAGATTGAACAGACGATATTCCAAGGAAGTAAGTGATAACTAAAAGACATAAAGTCAAACCCGCCTCCTAGGCCACCTTTCCATAAAAGCCACCTGTCTATAGTGACCACGTATTTGTCTCCCCCAAGAAAGTCAATACACAGCCAATAGTAGTGAGTTAATCCTTTACATATTCTTCTTTTTCTTCTGTTGACTCTGCCTCCTTCAACCTGAAGTATGTAATTCCTGTAACAACTATCGACTTTTTCAAGTTCTCATACTAACCCAAGAGCAATAAGGATCTGGAACCATCTGCCAGACTCGATCAGCAGTCACTGCAACAGGAATAACCAACTTCATGGAGGCTGCTCTACCCTCCATCAGAATGATGCAGCCCTCTGTTGGTTCTCACATCATATAAGCTTACTAGCTTGGTTTTTACTTGCACTGGACTTAGCATATTTTAATATAAATTAAAAAGTGCTTTGTCCACACACTATTCCAGCAATTCATGACACCCCTTGTAGTTACTTGCCTCACCTACCATTCCAGTATAGCTTCCTGAGTGCGCTGTCAAAGGTATTACCCAACTCGTTAGACTCGTTTGTATGTTTAGCCTGATTGAACAAAATATTAAAGGTAAGTCAGGCGTGAAGGCTGCTGGAAAGCAAATCTATTCTGTTGTCAAAAGGTTCTTTTAAATCATCAAAACCATCAGGAGCCCAGTCGATGTTGTAAGTCGAGACTGACTGATTGATGATGTGGGTTTTGCAGCCTTCACAAGAGTCAGGGGTATACGCCTAGCTCGTATATCTTAATTTCTTATTCCACAGAATGTTTAGGTGTCTTTGAGATTGTAACTGTAGACATCTCTGATACAAGAGCATCATTGGAATTCTCTTCTACCAATGAAGTGATTCAAGATGTGACCAACTACAAGATAGAACTGACTGAATAATGAATGGTGTGGGTTTTGCCACCTTCACAAAAATCGATCACTAGCTCGATATCTTAATTTCTTTCACCACAGAATCTTTAGGAGTCTTTTTATGCCTCCGCCACCGAAGGTGGTGCCGGAGGCATCATGTTTTCGGGTTGTCCGTCCGTACGTCCGTACGTCCGTCCGTCCGTACGTCCGTCCGTCCGTACGTCCGTCCGTCCGTACGTCCCGTTTGACCGTTATCACAATATCTCAAGAACCATTTAAGATTTAAACTTAAGACTCGGGAATAGTATTTATCACCATAGGAAGACGATCTGATTAGATTTTGGAGTACGTAGGTCAAAGGTCACAGGTCACAGAGGTCAACTTATGAAATTCCTTGTATTGAGTTTGTTAGCGCGATATCTCAAGAACCATTTGAGATTTAAACTGAAAACTTAAGGATAGTATGTATCACCATAGGAAGACGATCTGATTAGATTTTGGAGCACGTATGTCAAAGGTCAAGGGTCACAGAGGTCAACTTATGAAATTCCATACATTGAGATTGTTATCATGATATCTCAAGAACCACTGGAGATTTAAACTTCAAACTTAGTGATAGTGTGTATCACTATAGGAAAACAATCTGATTACATTTTGGAGCACGTAGGTCAAAGGTCAAAGGTCACAGGGCTCATTATGTATGCAAAAACAGCTTGTGATCGCGTTATCTGAACAACCGATTGATGGATTCCTACCAAACTTTGGTCATGTATGTATCTTGCAGAGCTGATGAACTGATTAGATTTTGGGGTCACGAGGTCAAAGGTCAAAGGTCACAGGGCTCATTATGTATGCAAAAACAGCTTGTGATCGCGTTATCTGAAGAACCGATTGATGGATTCCTGCCAAACTTTGGTCATGTATGTATCTTGCAAAGCCAATGAACTGATTAGATTTTGGGGTCACGAGGTCAAAGGTCACAGCGCACATTATGTATGCAAAAACAGCGCGTGATCGCGTTATCTGAACAACCGATTGATGGATTCCTGCCAAACTTTGGTCATGTATGTTACTTGCAGAGCTGATGAACTGATTAGATTTTGGGGTCGTGAGGTAAAGGTCAAGGTCATGCGGCTCATTATGTATGCAAAAATAGCTTGTGATCGTATTATCATTAGAACAGATTGATGGATTCCTGCCAAACTTAGATCATTTATGTATCTTGCAGAGCCAATGAATGGTTCATAAGATCAAAGGTCATGGGCTCATTATGTATGCAAAAATAGCTTGTGGACGCATTCTCATTAGAACTGACAGATGGATTACTATTTAACTCAGGAAATCTTGCAGAGCCAATGAACTGAGTAGATTTTAGGGTCATGAGGTCAAAGATCAAAGGGTCATATATGTTTATGAGAAATTGCTTGTAATCACGATATTCTGAGAACATGTTAATGGATTACAATTGAACATGAATTTGAAAAATTTCTTCCGTTTCGGTTTGTAAAATTGCTCTATGCGGAGGCATCATTTTCGACTGCGCGCAGTCGAATTCCATCTAGTTTAGATTGTAGCTGTAGACATCTCTGATACGAGAGCGTCATTGGAATTCTCTTCTACCAATCACGTGATTCAAGATGTGACCAACTACAAGATAGAACTGACTGACTGATCAACGGAGTAGGTTTTGCCGCCTTCACAACAATCAGGGTTTTATTAGACAACCTCAGATATCTTGATTTTTTTTTTACCACAGAATCTTTATGTGTCTTTGAGATTGCAGGTGAGACATTTATGATACAAGAGCATCACTGGAATTCTCTGCCACTAATCAAGTGATTAAAGATATGACCAACTACGAGATAGAACTGACTGAATGATCAACCTTGTGGGTTTTGCTGCCTTCACAAGAGTTGGGGTTATATACGACTAGCTCGGATATCTTGATTTTTTTTTACCACAGAATCTTTAGGTGTCTTTTTTAGATTGTAGCCGTAGACATCTGTGATACGAGAGCATCAGCGGAATTCTCTGCTACAAATCACAGGATTCTACATGTGACCAACTACAAGATAGAACTGACTGACTGCAATGGTGTGGGTTTCGCAGCCTTCACAACAATCAGGGTTATGAGACCAACTCGTATATCTTAATTTGTTTTAGCACAGAATCTTTAGGTGTCTTTGAATCTTTAGGTGTCTTTGTAGCCGTAGGCACCCATGATACGAGAGTGTCAGTGGAATTATCTGCTACAAATCTCATGTGTCGAGATGTGACCAATTACTAGATATCAGTCACCCCATCGGCTGGAGGCACGGCTCAGATCATCACAGTTGGACAGGGCGCTCTTCTCTACAGATATCATAATCATGGACCAGATCAGTGGTAAGAGTTATGATGTGGATCTATCAGCTGTATTATAAGTAACTACGAGAGGTACGTATTCACACTTGTATACAGTAGGCTTGCAGTTGCACCATGTGAGAGAGGGAGAAGGATTGGGGAGACTTTGATACATCTCTCGGTAATCTTTCTTTCTTGAGTGTGTGTAGTCCTGAAAAGGACTGTTGGTAGTCTTGAAAAAGTCTGTTGGATATCTTTCTTAGCTTATAGTCAACAACGGATAGTCAACCTGTTTGAAACGTCGAGCCACTCCTATTACCCATCCTCTCCAACTGGCGCTATATTTCTCCTTAGAACTATAAGCTTAAGAAAGATAACCAACGGTCTTTTGCAAGACTACCAACAGTCCTTTTCAGGACTACACACACTCAAGAAAGAAAGATTACTGAGAGTCCTTTCTAGGTCTCCCCAATCCTCCCCCTCTCTCACATGGTGCAATCGCAAGCCTACTGTATATCTACATCACCTTATAAGCAGCATCTATTCACACTTTTGTTTATATTTTATATGATGTTAGAAAGGTAATCCAAAAAGACACAAATTGTTATTGATGAACTTTGGATAATCAGGGTTTTGCAATATTTTTCATCCCTTAATGTAGTCAGTAAGTACTGTCCCTGATGCTAGGAATTGATCTCTAAATGTACTCAGTAGTAAGGACTGCATGTCAAGGTGGACAGAAAGAAAATTTTGAAATTTTTCCATAGCTGTCAATATAACTCTTAGGTAGTTGTAAAGTTGTAATATGAAATATATAATGATTTTTGTTGTAATATCAACTCCAATCCAGGTGGTATAGGTATTCATTAGTCCCATGTCCTAAAATTGTGGATCTATTACTATGCCATAAAATTGTCGTTCTCAACAAATATGCATTCCAGACACGTATTTTTGTGCCACAGTATTTTGCCAAGCTAACTTAAAAGTGCTTTTCTTACAAAAGTGGTTTGCACACTTTATGCAAGAATAGAATCAGTCTTACAGTCAGCATCTAAATTATTCTCACCACTTGTAACTTTAAGTTTTTCCATTACTCACGAATGATAGGTGGACTCGTTGAATTAGGGCCTCTATTGAATACTAATAAATTTAAAAAATTACAAACTTGGTAAAGGTATGTACAATTTAGTTGCTAACTGTTTGTGCTGCCTACTGTTCACTATACAATACTCCAATTGATTATGAGTTGATTTTTATTTCAAAGTTGCGGTGAAAATCTCTTACACAATGCAATTACATGAACTCTGATCAACTTTACATGATGACTAGTGAATTCTGTAATTCCCATTTGCTTAGTACAGAAAGTTCCTATTGGCATTAGGCCAATCTTCTAACACTTATTTATTTCTGAGCCTCCGGTCAACAGTAGCTACGATGGCTTTGTCATCACAGCTAATGGTGAATCGAAACAAGTCCTTCAAGCCCAAGCTAATTACCAGGCTACCTTTGAGAACATGATTCCTGGGGAGACTTAGAAGCGTGGATGCGTACCGGTATTCCTTTCTGTATCCGCCAGATTTGACAAGTCAGGCCCTCATGGATTTTACTTCAGTGTCCGTAAAAACAGGTACCTATAACTTTAGACATATTTTCTTTAAAGTCTGTCTGTACTAGTTTGGCTAGGAGGGAATAGAACATCCAGGATGGTCATCTCATGGCCAGGTTGCTATCTCATCAACTCGGCTCTCAATTAACATAATAAAAAGAGGATCATAGGGGACCAATGATCACCAATTAGGCATTGTTTTCTAGATACAGGGAGCAAGTACCTACAAGTAGGACAGTGGGCCTTTAAGTAAGGCCCTCATGGATTTTACCTAGTTTCCATAACAATGGGTACTTAACTTTTTCTTCAAATGAAAGAATACTGTAGTAAAAAAAAGGAATACTGTAGTTTGAAATTCTCCTTCAGATATATTGTCCAGAGAAATGCAAATACATGTAGTTTTCTTTTTAAACAACTCTCTTCACTTTTTTCGACATTGTTCAATATTTCTTTCCCTTTTCTTTCCTTTTTTA